TTGGCAGAGTTTCTTGGGTTCCTGTTCACATTTATACATCCAGAATGTTTAAGAGGCATCAATTTTTTTCGGTGTATCGTTTTCGTAGCCGGAGGCTTAAAAAATCGCATGTTTCTTACGCAGATTGCGGAGTTCCTTCATACTGAGAGTAAAGACAATACGAATCCATTTCTGATTGGTTCCCACATTTTAGGCTTTCACAGTGTCACAAACGGGAATAAAGTTTACATTTTCACCGATTGCAAAGCTTACAAACTGGAATGGACCGGGGAATTGGGGGTACGGCAAGGCACAAATTGAATGAAAGAGGGAACGGAGAAAGGGATTCGGGGATAGGTTGACGAAGATTACAAAAAAGTCCCATTTGTGTCACCTTTATTCCCGTTCGCGACATTCATAAGCAGCATTGTCTCAACTCCCACTAAAAAGGGACTCCAATTAAGGAGTGTATTTCAGAGTTTTCCGATGCGCTCACACTGGAAAAAAAACACATTGGATCTAGAGTCCAGACTCTTAAAAACATCGACAAGAAAAAATGCTCTTAATTCAATCGGATTTTTGCTTACATCAAGAACCAAGCCTCCTAATTTGATCGGATTTCCTTTTGATCTAAGCAAAAATCTGATTGAATCAAGAGTATTTTTTCTTTTCAATGTTTTCAAGAGTCTGGACTCTAGATCCAATGTGTTTTTTTCCAGTGCATAGTGATTTTTGAGCCATTTTCCATAAAAAAAACAACTGTTCTTTTTGCTCTCTCTGAAGTTTGCAACAGGCCCATTCTTGCAACGGCCCCACTTACATACCATCACTGCTGCTACTAGAGGATGTCCGACCCCTCAAATCGCGCTTGCTCTGCAGTTGAAACGTACTATCCACGACCATTCCACTTCTCACCCTGCGCGCCAGCGGACACTTATCGTCGATAGGCCTATAAGACAAGCTGTACCAACTTCCGAACGTCGTGCCGTACACGACGTAGTCAACGTAATGTTTGCAGTTACATCGGAACGTGTCGAAATAGACGTACGTGCCGTTGAGGTGCAGGGCCAGAGTGTAGCTCAAAGCGCCCAGTCTCTCAACGCGTTCCCGACGTCGGAACGAACCGCTTGATTTATATTTCGCTGCTGGTACCTGCAAAGAGGAGGACAATCCGGTTATTTTGTCGCAAGTTTGTCCTTGATATCTTAAAAATTCGTCACCTTCCGGCAAAAGTGTCACAAGCGCCATGCGACGTCTAAAAATTTTCGCCGCCTTTTTATTTTTTTATAGAGAAGTTGCTCAACGAAGCTGTCCAAAAAATTTACTGGATTTTCTTCGTGCTGCCGATAAAATTTAGTGAAATTTTCAAACAGATTCAACTCAACATTTGAGTGTTAAACAATAAAATGACGGAAATTTTGAAACGTCGCATGGCGTTTGTGATACTTTGGCCGCAGGTGACGACTTTAGGAAAATATGACGTTTTGAAGTGGTAATACACAAATTCTTAAGTTTTAGGCTTTATTCTAAGTTAAAGTTGTAGGTTAAAAATAGTGAGGAATTCTGACATGCACGCAGAAAAGTATTAGCCGGCTCTCTTTAATGTGGTGAGAAAATTAACTTAAATCGCGCGTCGTTCTCAGGGCTCCTATAAAAAGCGTAACCCGTTGAGTATAGGGTCCCTTTCTTCCCTGGTAAAAATTGGCGATAGGAGCTGCGTTTCAAAATACCATAGGAGTTCTTATAGCCGACTGAAGAGGGCTATAGAAAATCATACAGCTGGCTGTGGAAAGTGGAAATAATCATACGACCGGGCTACACGAAGCGATAGAAAATTATACAGCCGGGCTACATATAGTTCCTATCGCCGGGCTTTACACTTTATCGCCTGACTGTTGCTTTTTTGCCATCGGCTATAAAAGGCAATAAGAAATTGAGTAGAAATTCGTGTGCTTTTTAAATCCTTATGTTTGTACGGAATCACCTTAATATTTACAAAACGCACATTATATTTTCCTTTACTACATATTAATTTTCATCAATTGAAATGAGAATAATCAATACAGAGTGTGCAAACATTTCAAAGTTATGAGTTGAAAAACGCTGACTCCGCGAGATTAAATATTAGAGCCTAACACAAAGCGGAGCGGCGGCGCACTGGCGCCTACAAACCTAACAGGGATATTTCACGCATTGCGCAATGCGTGAAGTATCCCTGTTAGGTTTGTAGGCGCCAATGCGCGTTCAGCGCTGGCTGCAGCGTACTGCGGCGCTTGAAGCAACTATTTCACACCAGAGGTATTGCACAGTATCATACGAAATTGAAGGCGCTCCAACATAGTAGGAATGGCAGGCATCCTTCAAAAGTACGGAGATTTCCTCGCAAATTAAATCAAAATACTGCGGCCCAAGAAGAGAGCGGTAGTCCAAAAACACTAAGTCCTAGCATCCGTAATTAGTAACGCTTAGCATACACTTTATCGCCAGGCTGTTGCTTAGTCACCATCGGTTATAAAAGGCTATAGGAAATTGTGTTGCCGGCTATAGAAGCTATTGGAAATCTTACAGCCGGCTGTAGGTCTATGGTATTTTGGAACACAGATTCTACTACCAATTTTTACCAGGGTTAGGGAGAATTGAGACAAAACGGCTCATGGATGTCACAAATGAGAATAAAAATTACACAAATTAAAAGTTTTCGTAATTTTTGATCAACTCATTCCCAAATCATTGTATCCGTTTCCTCTCATTCTGTTAGTTCCTTGCCGTGCCCCTATTTTCTCGGTCCATTACAGTTTACAATCTTGGTGAAAACGTGAACCAAAAAAAAAAAATTGGTGAATTGAAATTGATGAACGAGGACCAATCGGAAATGGATTCGTACTGTTTTTAATCTCAGTATGAAGAGACTCTACCGTTGAAAACTCAATCCGCCAATTTTCACCTTTTTCCCAGAATGGACCAGATGAGAAGATACGGATTTTAGCATTCTAAAACATGTTCATTCTCTGGGCCTCTTTCAAAGGAAGTGTAAGTAGCTCTGATGTATGTATGTAACTGGTTTCACCTGATATTTCCAGACCATCTTTCGGGGGTCCCGTTTGTATTGCCTGAAGTAGCCGTCGCGTCCGGAATCGAGTGTTTCCAGCAAGAGTTTCTCTGTGCGAATGTCTTCGTCGTAGATCATGTGGAACAGCTGGTCCTTGCCATTGCTGTCGGTGAAAATGAAAAGCCAGTGCCAGAACTCTGTGATGAGCAAGTCGGGTCGTCGAGGCTGAGGGCACGTCAGATGGAGGAGGGACCAAAGCAGAAAAAGACTAGATTTCACTGCGCAGGACATGCAGGAATGAGAAAAATAAAGAATTGTCAGTTCTAAATAGCGAAAAAAGGATGCTAACCCAGAATCAATGGAGATTTTACATGTGTGAGGAATTTGCGATTTGACTACTGATTCTTATGTAAAAGTTTGCGAAAAACATGATGATGCCACTGGTTTTCTCTGAAATCGTCTCCCAAGCTCAAAAAAAGCTCTCAAGTTGAGGCTAAAATGGAGGGAATATCCCACGCTATCCTGAGAGTCCACATCTACATCAAGACAAACTCTCCATGCAAAGATAGGGAGCAAATACATTAGCAGGGTTACCGTGTTTTCAGTATTAGAGTCCCCAAATAAAGTGGCAGCCCTTTCAATGTATTTGCTCCCTATCTTTGCATAGAGAGTTTGTCTTGATGTAGAGGTGGACTCTCAGGATAGCGTGGGATATTCCCTCCAATTTGGCCTCAACTTGAGAGCTTTTTTGGAGCTTGGGAGTTGATTTCAGGGAAAACCAGTGGCACCATCGTGTTTCTTGCGGATCTTCACATAAGAATCAATAGTCAAGTCGCAAATTCTTCACACATGCAACATCTCCATTGCAACAAAAGCTGTTTTGCGGGACTACTACTTGAAGTACGTACTAAGAGTTAGACACGGTTCAACGACCGTAAGGGGGGAGGGGAGGTGTTCGGCGGAGGGGCCTGATGGCTCACACGGCGTTCTTACTTAGCGCGGCAGAGTGGCGGTTAGATGTCGCAGAGCAACCCAGTGCGCCGTAAAAGCGACTAATCTATACAAATTAAACGGCAGACTTCAGGATTATTAAGCAGGGGGTAAAAGCAGATTCGACGTATCAAGAGGCAGTCACTAATTGTATTAGATGGTACAATAAAACTGAAACTTGTTATCAATTTTTATTTTTCCTTCCAGCTATGTTGAAAAGATCACAGAGCAAGGTGGTAAACTGTTGTTAGATGTTGGCACGAACTATAGGGCTAATAGTTTCCAAGCATCCTTGTCAAATGGCAACCCCAGCGATCAAATTGGATGGAAAGCTGATTAAATTCCCCAACTCTTCCACCCTTCTAAGTAAGCCCAACTTTTCAAAGCCCTCAGCTGACTTTGGTTTTTTAAGGCTAAGAAGTTAGTTTTGCGATGCCCCTCCCCCCCCCCCAATTATTTGAAAAATCGTCGTTTTTCCAGATTTTAACAACGATTTCGGCACAAAACTGAAAAATAACTAAACACCATAATTTTCAGGGTCAAATTTATGTTTTGCCTTAAAATTATCTACATGTAGATTACATATTAAAAAGGAGCTCAATGAGATCCCATTTGAGGGTGGAAAACTTGGTTTTTTCCTTAAGAGATCCTTCCTTAGGAGATTCCTTAGGAAATAAGGTTAAAGCTATTCTCGTGCTCCATTTGACACGTGTCGCACACGACTCACAATCTGTTTCAAGGATGCAAGAATTCTTGAATTTCCAAAAGACAATGAAGTCTTTTTTTCTGTGTCTCATTTGAATTTTAAATCGACGGATGGCCAACTCTTTCATAATATCGTCTCCCATCCTCTCAATTGATCCAATTGATGATTGATTATTTTCGTTGCGTGGAATACTTTGGTGTGGTCGCGTGTGCATTTTTTATTTATTTATTTTTTCAGTTTTATAAATTTTGGAAAATTAAACATTTAGAGGATATAAGTTTTAGTGCCCAAAAAGTCCAATTTAAACATATTGCAAGGTGAAATTTATGGAAACATTACTATCTGCGCTTCGATTTGTGTGATTTTTATTTCATTACCTTCTCAGTGAAGACGAGGTTTTCAGCTGTTTTAGTCAGAGGTGCTTTTACTTGCAGTGCAGAATTTTGAGACAGTTATACCACGAGAATAATGTTAACTATCAGGCAAGATAGCTGATAAATCAAGTCACATACAGGTAAGCAAACTGCCAAGAAATTTACAGCAATAACTTATACTTGAGTTGCTTCTCACTTTCGTGTGAGTCGACCTATGGCTTAATCTTAGCAAGAGGCAACTTATTTTTGTTGAAAAATTGAGAAAATGTATAAACGGTGAAATTACAGAACCATGTATCTCGATTTGCGACTTGGTAGATTTTTGCTCTGTTTTACTTTTTCTACAGATACAACTGATAATCGGCATTGACCAAAGTAGCTCATGATTTTTTGCCCTTTTGCCCTATATGACCATACAAAGTGAGCTGTTTCGTCATACCGCAAATGCACGATGGTCTGTTTGGCACCCATGATACGTACCTGGCTAGAAAGTAAAAACCTTAGTAAATCTGGTTTGACTTAAGCATAAACAACTGTTATAAATATTTTAAAAGGAAACTCGTAAATTTTGTGACGGCAACTCTTCAGAAAAATTGTCTAACTTGATTTTCAAGAAAACTTTCTCAGAGTATTCACAAAGTAACTTCATAATTAAGTTATAAGTAAAATTATTGCTAAAGAAAATTTCTATAAGTTCAGATTTAGTTTTTTCAACACATAAAATGTTCAAAATGTTTTTAAAAAAAAACTCAAAAATACTCTGAAATAATGGTACTTTTACCTTCAAAAAATCTTTACTTGATCTTTGAACATACGTAAAAATATTAGACAAAACGGTTCCGTAAAACGAAATTCATACCATTTTTACGAGGCGCTTGGAAAGGAGCTGTTTATCCTTCATTGCAACAGGGAGCTTCTAAAACTCCGCGCTCAACGGTAGTAAATATTTCTACACTTAACTCTCGTCAAAATGAGTTGACACCCGTTTAAAGCGGGATTTTTGGCCCAAAAATGAGAGTCAGAAGAGAGTCTGATCATTATCGAATCCAACGAAGGACTTCGGGAAGGAGGGTCTTCGGAATTCAATTGCTTTGCGAGTTTACAAGGCTCACTTTAAAATTTATTTATTCCTTCAAGAAAGTTTTGATTTTTTTTTTCATGATATTGGGTAAATTATTGCCTCTATGATTTAACAAAAATTCCGAGAATCACTGGAAAAAAAAACCACATTGGATCTAGAGTCCAGACTCTTGAAAACATTGACAAGAAAAAATACTCTTGATTCAATCGGATTTTTGCTTGCATCAAAATGAAATCCGCTTAAATTAAGAGGCTTGGTTCTTGATTTAAGCTAGATTCTGATTGAATCAAGAGTACTTTTTCTTGTCGATGTTTTTAAGAGTCTGGACTCTAGATCCAATGTGCTTTTTTTTCCAGTGATGTTTAAAAATTAAACATGCGTCTGATAGTAATAAGGAAACAGTCTTAGATGAAGCTCCGCAAAATTCCGATTCGATTAAGCCCTCAACTTATCCTCTCTGCGTTCATTTTTAAAGGGAGCGTCCTTTTTTCCTGAGACGGGTCACTTTTAATTTCTCGCGAGTATTCCATCATCCAATTAATTTTCTCTCTTTCTGTCTCTCTCCCCTTTCTACACTCACGTTGTTGGACCAGTGCTCGAGGTTTTCAACAATGAAAGCTAAGGTCGAGGTGGTCATTTCCGGAGCTGCAGGTGCATTCCCAGAGTGCAAGAGTATTCCCGAGTTTGAGGATGCACTATTCAACAAAACAGATCTCGTCACCAATGATGACCGCAGATGGAAAGAAAGTAAGCATTTTCAAAAGATGTTTATCTTGACTTCGCATACCTTCTCGCTCATTCACTTAGGTCTATTTGAAAACTTGTGTACGGGTACGCAATGCAAAGGATTGTATCCTAAGTCGTTCCTCAAACGGCACCCTATCTATGGGAACTACATGGTTTCTTTTGTGATTATGGAAGATTGGAACTGCGTTTGGCCGAAAGGAACCAAGCAACATCAGCTATTACCATATTTAATTGGGTCGTTTAATTTTTTACATAAAAACGGTTGTGTGGATTTTTCTGCAAATTTCAGTAAATTTTCTGAATGGTGCGAAGCAAAATTCAATTTTCAAAAGGAATCCGCACACACGTTCTCTTGTAAAAAATTAAATTGATCAGTTAAATTTGACAATAGCTGATGTGGCTTGGTTCCTTTCTGCTAAACGCGGTCCATTTTAGGCCTTGTCCACACGATCGCGGTTCGCGGAACTTATTTCGAGGAACTTGTTCCGGGAAAAAGTTTTTAGCTGAGCTGAAACTTATTCCTCCAAAACCCGGAACTTCCCCCGAACTCCGAGCTTCTACATATGATTCTTTTGATGTGAATTTGGTTGTTCTTGTTTTTTACGTCCTTTACATATCTTGACATTTACTTTTGTTACTTTAGCGGCCGTAATAATCTATTATTTTGCGATAATTGTATATTTTTATTGAAGTTCCGGTTCCAGTTCGGGCGAACTCGTGTGGACAGCATCCCTCGTTTGAAGGAACAAGTTCCGGGAACCGAGCAGTTCGAGGAATAAGTTCTGCGAACTGCGCTCGTGTAGACAGGGCCTCAGGAAATCTTTTAGCATAGCATCATGGAAATGACAATTTTTGTAAGCTACAAAATTCAGCAGTATAATTTTAAGGAATGGATTCTTGCATGGGGTTATAATAATTTCATAAACGCAGGAAGTACAAACTAAAATATAAAATCAATTTCGGCGTCCAAAACTTTCAAGTTGTATGTAAACCTGCCTTGAGGCATCAGATTTATCAAAATCATTAAATTTTTTCCTTTTTTTTGAGTTTTTCAGTGACAAATCTTTACAATTTTCTACGAGAAATACGAGAATCCATTTTCAAAGTCAAACTGCTGAATTTTAATTCGAAAAAAAATTTGAATGTTAATTGGATTACATTTTGCAATTCGGAACTACACTTTCTGGCTCATCTGTAAAAACACTTATGGTTGGTTGGTAGATACGTTTATTTGGTGCTTATAACAATTGAGCTATTAACACCTTAGAGGAGGGATCAAAATATGGTACAGAATTTAAAATTTAAAAAGTAGGGGTCACAAAAAGGTAGTGCAAAATAAAAAGTTAGGACAAGGAAATAATACATTAAATTTGGAGATCAATTCGTTTGAAAAAGCGAGGGATTTCATGAAAATACTTTGAACTCGATTCAAAAGTCATGTGAACGTAATTCTGCCAAACGGAACTATGTGCATTGTGAAGTGAGCCCTATGTATCAATTCTTATGGGTCTCAGGGCTCATGCCTTGGTGCACATAGTTCCGTTTGGCAGAAATACGTCCGTGTAACCTCTCAAAGTTCCAGCCTGGCACGGTATTTTCCACGCGAGAACTCTGCTCTTTGACTCTGTAGCACCGAGACACGTATTCTCTACTTGTGGATTTTCTTTCCTCTTTCTGTTCTTTTGCTAAGTATTTGACATTCTTGGAGATTGGAAGAATTAATTTGAATACCATTTCTTCACTATTGACTAACATAGTTTTATTGATTTTTAGCCCCTGGATATCCCAGTCACTGCGGTAAAGCGTTTACTCACGAGAAGTTCGACGCACTTTTTTTCAAAGTTCCATTTAGTTCACCCACTACTATGGATCCTCTAGCAAAGAAATGTCTAGAAACAAGTGTGGAAGCTATTATCGATGCGGGTATGTCAACTTACGCTTCAGATAGATCATATAGATATTATTGTACACATTTATCAATATAAGTGAATCGATTAATGAACGAGGAGAAAATTAAATTACTCTGCTATTATTTTTTTTGTCATCAAACTTCTTTCTTGTAAAGATTCTCTTGACTGTTTTAAGATTCAAGCCCTTAGTAATGATTGAACGATGAGATTTTATACTAAATCTGAATCGGCCTTAAATTTTTGCAAGCCTCCAGTTTTGCAGCCATTTTCCGAATTTCAATCCGACAATTGGACGTATTTTAACCAAAAGGAACTATTTCCATTCTGACATAAGCCCCGAGAACCATAAGACTCCATGCATGGCAGGGCTCATGCTACAATGTAGATAGTTCCTTTTGATTGAATTGCGTCCAATTGATGACGCAACATCCCCAATATCAAAGATTGAAGTAAAAGAATAAGCACCTCCAATCGCGACGTTGCCAAGTTTCCACTCGTATTTTCCACCAAAGGTCTATGCGCAAATTTTCATTCGACTTTGACCATAATGTTCAAACTGTCAACTAACTTGTTCAAATTTTTATGAAGTATAATCAAAAGTTAAAACGTATGATCAATAATCATTGGCTTGCACCGATACAAAATTGTGCACTAGAAATAAGCGAGTGAAACCAATATAAACAGAAGTATACATTCAAGTGAAATCTTTCACATGTGCAAATATGAGAGAAAGACATTGAATTCATGAATGAATATGAATAATGAATGAGAAAAATGTGTCCTGCCTACGATGACCACTTACACCTTATTTGCCACTATTAGTGTTATACAGCTTAATTGACACAAACGGGTTCAAGAGAGAAAGAATTTCGAATCCGTCCATTTTTATAGTGGTAGTGACATATTTGTGTCAAAGAAATGTCGATGAATAAATTTAAATTACAGGAAACGAAGACGGCATAACAATTACTTTGAGTCCATGGCTTCCAAACACTTCCAGTATTGCAGTGAGCTGAAGGTGTTATAAAATTTGATGTTCAGCTCATTGATGACAGCATCGAATCGATTAAAATTCAAATTTAAAATTTAATAGGCAAATGAGTCAAGTTTTCTGTGCTATATTAGACCATCCGCGTATCTTTTAATTTATGCATGCTGACTCGGAAGATTCAATTCATTCATTTCTCTTACGCACTCAAGAGTAATCAGTCCAGCGGAAAGGAAGTGTCTTACTATTTGGACACATGTCTCTCTCGCCCTTGAAAATTCCGAATTATAATGCTGTTCTTCTTATTTGAGCGTGGCCTGGTGTAATTTGCATGCCAATTTAGCTTGTCTATCTCCGCTCTAACGTAAAAAGATACAAGTTGGTTTTTGCAATCGCTAGCGATAGCAATATTCGTCATGGGAACTTTTGCTTCTGGGATATGAAAATGTTAAGGTACAGTTCGTTTGTAGTATCTTCAGGATTGAAGGGGCTATGTAATTTTGTGTCGACATCTCTTTTTTAACATTTTTAATTTTTTTTTCTTTGCATACAAGAAAGCTGTTATATTTACCAATTATTTATTTTCGTTGGATTATGTATGGTTTTCGGAAGTTAACGCATTTAACTTTCAGTTTCGTTTTTTCGGCGTAAAGTATGATATTTTTACTCTACGCATATTCCCGAATACGCATCATAAGTGACCTATGTGCTTCCTAAGTTGCCATTTTTTTCATTCAAATAGATGTAACTGAAATGTTAGATGTGTACTACCTATACTACTTTCATGTCATTGCTTTATTTATTTATTTATTTATTTACTTTTTGCGTAGGTATAAATTGTTATTTTTTGCTGAATTTTGGAGAAAATATTGCTTTAAGAACGTGGAATGTAAATTAATTTTATTGAAAAAAGAAAATACCATCATTAATTTGGGCGAACAGAGAAAATATACATCAATATTTGGGTCAACATCTCCCTGATTATATAAAGGATGAATAAATTAGTATTTCTGTATCAAAAAACTTAGCTTTTGTCTTCAGAGATACAATGATTCTAGTCCCAGTCAATTTGTTGTATTGAAAAAACAAAAAAACAAAAAATAAATAAAAAAAAAAACAACTGAAATGTTAGACATACTATTTTCATGTCTTCCTATTTGTATCAATAGGTACTTTTTGCTTAACTTACGAACGTTAAATGCAAATTAACTTTATTGAAAAAAGAAAATAACGTCATTAATTTGGGGGAACATGTGGCTGATTATATGAAGGAGGTATATTCCAGTATTTTTGTTTAACATATTAACTCACGAGAAAATGTTCGTACATTTATCATCTAGTATTAATTATTTTTTGATGATTGGTCTAAAACATTCAATACAACCATTAAAAATTAACTCCCATCGACGGGTATCGAACTCCCGATCAGCTATTGCCCACACCTTATCAAAATATGAGGCTCCTCAGTCAACTAGGCTATCACAGATCAGCGATAGCGCGAGAAAAAATAGCATTTAAAAGACTCGGACGATGGGCGGGACTTATCACAAGAGTTGTCCTTGAGCGATTCGGCGATTCGCGTCTTCGTAGCTTCTGGAGAAACGAGCTAAGCGCCTTTCTCTGTGAGACATTGTTTGCCTATGCTATCATGTGTCTCAAGGTTCATATCAGCAGGCATTTGCCATCGCGGCAGTAAGCTCAGGCAATATTTCTGTATTCATGGAATAAATCAATCAATCGAGCTCCGATTTTGGCTCATATATCCGTAACGGGTCTTCCAGAGCAGTTTTCCACCTTGCACAATAGTTATAATTTCTTTATTTCTATGTTTAAAATTTGAGGTGGGATAATGGCGGCTTCTCAAGAGCAACGAAGTAGGCGATCTTTTGCACCAACGAACAGAAAACTGATGGCGAAAAATAGCCAATGAAAACCTCCCAAAAAAAAGAATTTGCCTAAAAACGGAACTTCGTGGTTCTGCGCAGATTTACCAGTCAGACACGACATCTTAAGGTGGAAAAAAACTCGCTGAAAGCGAATTTTAGAAATCAACACAACTTGACGTAGAGACATGATTGGCTAAAAAATACAACGGTTTTTGATACATCGGAAAATCAACCAAAAATCGGAGACTGGGCGAAACGCTCAAGGTCGCAGAGGTATAGGGAATCCCATAGCGAAAGCAACGGAACGATTGTAATATCATGGGGAACTCCGTTCCCATGACAATAAAACCTCGGTTGCAAATGCTAAAAAATTCAGTAACGATGTCTCGTCACGCAAACCCATCTATCTGGTTGCCAGAACCAACTATACTTTGATTGAAAACTAGAATTAGGCTCGGTTAAACGAATCGAAAGCATCGATTTATCGAACCGAAAAGCTTCAATTTACACGTAACATGTTCTGTTTGTATTAAATTTTTTGCATTCCGCTGAGCAGAACCTCCAGTTTCGTTAACTGAGGCTCAGTTCTGTCAACCTAAGAGATTGGTTCTCCCGATTTAGAGTTCAGTCCTCTGAGCCAAAAAAATTCTACTAAAATAGGTTCGAGAAAAAAACACCAATAAACGTGGCCCAAACTGTATGTAACGAGGTGATAAAAAAAGTGCTGGGTACACGTCATTCTGCGGGGAAAACAAGGTCAAGAATTTCAAAAATTTCCATTTTGGTCAAAAATTTTAAACTGTAATGCATGCCAGTGCAAGACTGAATGGGAAGCAAGTTAAGCTCAGTCAGCTTGCAGCTTGCAGACGAGTGTGATCTACTGATGAAGTGATATACCCAAAACGTTATAGATCTCTCGGCGTGACTTCAACTTAATATTCAAATGCAGTCTGCCTGCATTGTACACTCTGCCCCTTCAGTCTTGCCGTCGCACTCATTTGACTTCAAAATTTTTGACTCTAATTGAAATATTCGCACTTTTTGGCCCTGTTTTGGCCGAAAAATAGTGTGGATCCAGCACTATTCTACCAAATTATTAATGTGTTTATTATCGTGAGGTCTGGTTTTCTCACACATATTAGTCAGATGACTATTTTAATCGCTCATCATGATCACACATTTTCAGGAGTAAATCCAAAGTCACTGGCTGGTACGCGAACAGCCGTTTATGCTATATACGACTTTAGTGAATTCGAAATGAGCGTGGTTGACGCGCAATCGCAAAGAGCGCTCCTCGGCATCGCCCGAACGTTCGCAGCAAACAGACTTTCATTTACTCTCAATTTGAAAGGTTGGTTATATTTATTTTTTAAAATCGAAGACGAATTGATCAATTTCAGAAAGGAACCAGACCGTATCAAGTCTCTTTTCAAATCTTAAATTAGGGAGTGAAGTCCCCGCTTCCCTGGTACAACTTCATGAATTCTTTTATTATCCTACATATTGATCATACTTGAAAAAAAAATAATAATAATAAATAAAAGAAACAACATTGCTAACTAGTGTTCCGCGGTTTTTCATTGTGAACACGACTGCAACACAACACAAACATTTCCTAGGTAACCTAGGAAATGTTTGTGTTGCAAGGTAAGATTAGTCGCAATCACTCATTGTAATTCAGAAAAGCAGGACGCGTGCAATTTATTGTGTATGCAACACGGACGTCCCTCGACCACGAATAGTTGCATTGAGGATTTGCTATTGAAAAAGCCGCGGCGCCTTCAATTTTTTTCCGTCCATGATAATGGAAGTTACCATGCCAATATCTTTAAATGTTGACCTTGCTTGAAGATGAGGAAATTTGAATTTTTAACGAAAACTAAAAGAAAATAAATGAACGCAGAAAATATAAACAATACGGCTGTTTTTAGTAGCTGTCACACTCTTTTAAATTTATTGGCAACTTCTTTGAATACACTATTTTAAATTGTTTCCTTTTAAATCATTGGTTAAGAAATAAGTATACATCTATTTTATTAAATACTCAATCATTGGACTTGTGAACGTTCCTAATTAGTATAATTTATGGAATCATTACAAACACAAATCGACGGTGTAAGTCGGCAATCACATTACTCGGTTTGCGACGTCGCAGACTTAATGTCATACTTTATTTTTTGAACGGAAATTTACTCAACGGAAATTCTTTAAAACTGCCGTGATTTTTCTTCTCTGTGCGAAGAAAATTTTGTATAAATTTCAAAGAATGATGTGAATTTGTTCTCTTTTAAAAAAATAATATGGAGGCGGAGATTTTCAGACACCGCAAACGAGTTATGTGATTGCCGACTTACACCGTCGAAATGCGCAGATTGATATGGGCGCTAAAAATTTAACTTTAAATTTTAACGATTATTACAGTTAATATTAACAGTTAATAATACAGTTAATACAGTAAATACAGTTAATAATTACAGAATTTTCAAATTTTCTGTCTACGAATGAATTATAGTTTATAAGCATATATCCATTAAAATTATTTCACACCCGATAATTATTAATGTGTGAATAATTACACTCCTAGCAGAAAGTAATCTCACGCCAGGTGTGTCCCGATGGGTGACCGAATTGATTTTTGATTTGAAGGTCTGGACTTTTGCAGGTCCCAGTTTTACCGCTTTGGGAGGTTATGGACAAACCTTCCATTTCATCGACGAGGCGAAGGGTCAGTTAGAAGAAGGGGAGATAGATGCCGCGGTAATCGTGACTGCCAACTACATCATGTCACCCCGCTCTTTGGCCATATTACACAGCATGGGCTTGGCTGCCAACGACGGGAAATGTAGATCTTTCGACGAAAATGGTAAACTATGATTCAATACGCACCAATATGTGAAAGAATCTTTTACCGAGGGGTGCGGGGTCTGAAATCAGGCTGTGCTCGAAGTGTTTTTGAAAAAAGAGGTTTGAAAATTGCGTAAATCTGTCAAATTATGTAAATGAAGACCACTGTGATACAGTCAAATAAAACCTCCTTTCAAATTTTAAATTTTTGTAAAACTTTTTCTTATCGATTTTTCTAGAAAAAATAGAAATAATAAATAATAATATATTGATAAATAATAAATAATATTATAAATAATAAAAAAATAGGAATTTTCCGATAGAAAAATCAGTAAGAAAAAGTTTTACAAAAATTTAAAATTTGGTAAAGCATGGCCGATAAAGTCAACAACAGAAGTGATAAAACCTCTTTTCCTGCATTTTTGGATGTTGGCCGCAATGTTCGACATTTTGTTCTATTCTAAGAGCTACTCGAAGTCTAAGATGGCTCAGATGATCAGGAATGAATCCATTCTGGATCCATCCAATGTTACCATTTTCTCCCTGCAGAGACTCTCGAGTTTCAGTAATGGGTTGCTAAACCATGAACAAATTTTCTAACATGCGAATAAATTTTTCTCAAGGTGAATGACGGAGGAAGCAGAAAAAGGTGCGGCATTAAAAACTCGAAAAAATAACGCAAACACCCAAAAATATGCTGTTCAAAAAGCGCAGCTTTTTCCCAATTTTAAAACGCGTTCGGTTTCGCGCCGAACCGAATGATGTTATCCGGCACCAATCAGGAGCGAGGACGGGTTTCCACGACTTTTGTCATATGTTATTCTACTCCTCATAAATGAGAAAAATATGAAGGTCAAAAATATATTTTCAGAATCCAAAAATCGAATCTCATTTATGTTATCTGTAGTTCCATATTGAAATACGTTTTATTTTAACAGATATCAGTGGAACATGAGAGGAGATAGCGATTTGACTGCCGCAGTATACATCACTTCCATCATTTTCCCACCATATTAGCGCATCTGTGATTCTCTTGAGCCTTTAGAAGTTTAGACCTTTAAAAGCGGACTTATAAAAATCGGATTTATAAAAAAACAAAATTACAAACGAGAAAAGGCGACGAAATCTCTCTTTCCTGAGAGTATAGTAATTTCTAATTTTGTCGTTTTTTGGTGATACAAGAAATAGCATCTTTAATTAGAAGAGTGAAGAGAGGAACTAAACGAGCAATTTGGCCTGGAGCTCAACGCAGAGAGGAATGATGACGAGGACTTGAGATGAAAAAGACAAGCCCTCGGGAGATCGGCATGTAACACATATTAGCGCCTACAAGACTGCATGAATACTTCACGCATTGCGCCAATCACAATGCTATCAGCGCGGCGCAGCGGCAGAAGTTAAAATTTTTAAACCACATTTATATATGTTCTTTCATAATTTGTTGGTTCATTTCTTATAAATGGAGGACCTTGTCCACGTAGAGATAGGTGTACGGAACTTAACTTTCGCGCAAAGTTCCGTGAAATTTTGCGAGTAGTTTTGACACGGCTTTCGCAAAAAATGTATCCAACACGAGTAGGTAAACGCGTCTTATGCACGCCTCCCCCTACGGCACGTTCACTTGATGATTTTTATTGATGTTTCAAAACGAATGAGAAGGGGGCGGCAAGTGGGTTAATCACTAAATCCGGCCTTGCATTGAGTACCTAAAAATGGCGTCCTCGTGTTTTCAGCCCACGGATACTCTCGGAGCGAGGGCTGCGTAGCGTTTTTCCTCCAACGAGCGCCAGAGGCTCGCAGAAACCACGCGACGGTCATCGGGGCTGAATACAGGTTTTTCGGCACCAAAGAGGGTAACGTCCTCGCCCTCGACGGAGGACCAGCCAAAGAGATGCTTCGTCAAATCTACTCGAAGTGGAACGTTGACCCAGCCGAGGTCGGCTACATCGAGGCAGACGGCTCCGGGATCAAAGTTAGTGTCATTCATGATCATTAATTTGCAACCGTTTTCGTTTGCAAGTGACCGTCTGAGGGTGCGCCTGAATTTTTACTTTCTCGCTACCCTAGGGTAGAAGAAGTATGGTCATCCTGCAAGGGGGGGGGGAGTTGAAATTTCATCATTTCTAGACGTTTTAAGGCCCCAGGAGTCAAAATAATTAGTCCCAATAAGGAGTCCCAGGAGTCCGGCCTCGGAACACAGTGTGCATTCTTGTTTGAATATGCATCACTGAGATATCAATGAAAGAGCCTGAAAAAAAAATATTGCAAAATTTCTACTACTCTCAATGAAATTTTAAAAGAAAATGAACCGTTTTCATAAATATCTACAGAATTTTCTGTGCAGACAATTTTAACACGAAGAACATTCATTCAATGCAGCAGCTTGTTTTCTATTAAAAGCATAAATTAATGATCGATATATTTGCAACTTCGCATATTGAGATGTTCTTTAAGTACTGCTCATTGCTCCGATAAAATAAATTTCGAAACTGAAGAGATACGCTAAAATATCTTAGCAAACTCATAAATGTGTACTAATATATTTGAAATTTTAGGATAGGGACGCTAAGGAAGTAGACATTCTCTCTGACGTTTTTTGTCCTAAGCGAAGAAAGCCTCTCCTCATTGGATCGGTGAAATCAAACATGGGTCATGCAGAGGCAGCTGCTTGTGCTGTAGGAGCGGTCAAAGCCATCATAGCACTCAAGAACACTAAAATACCGCCGAATATTAACATTAGCTCACCAATTCCCGAGCTCACATCCAGAGGAATCAAGGTGATTTTGCACTTTCTTAACCTCAAAGCGTCTTTAAGTAGTTTGAGTTTTTCTTTGCTACCTTAATGTCAGATTCGTAATTAAAGACTTCATCACCGTTTAACATTTATTGCAGGTTATAATGGAGCCAACACCTTATGACGAAGAGTTGATTGGCATTAACTCAATCGGTTTTGCCGGACACTTTGGGCACCTCCTATTAAAAGGAAATCCCAAGTAAGTTGCAACATCGCACATAATATTTTACTTACTATTATAAGGGATTATGGAATCGATCTTAACTAGGGGGTACACTTTTTGACTGCTACGCGGCCTAGGCCCCCGAGGACGCTTCGCGGGCCCCTCGTAGGCTAACATAAATAGAGCGGGCTCATCTGGAGACTACATGTTATCGATAGCAGCTAAAATAATGAACAGTCACAGGGAAAAATCGTTATGTAGGAAGTATTTCTGTTTGCAATAATGGCGCACACAAAATATCAAGATGTATGATAAGTAATGTCGATTAAAATATATTCGAATATTGTATTAGTGCGAGTTCTGTGGGAAAACAATTAATTCGTGTTTTGCGTTTGGATTGTTGAAATGCATTTTTAGATTTTTTTTAAATGTAATGGAGCATACATAAAGAGATGCGATCCAATAATCAAAGCATAAGAATATAATTCATAGTTTTTCTATTTCCTTTTCTGGAAGATCGGTGTGCTGTGGAGTAATTTATTTATTTTTCTCTGCAGAAAATCCTCATCTACACTGATTGAAGAAAATCTTCCGCAAATCATACTGCTCTCCTCTCGAACAGAGTCAGGAATAATTGACGTCATGAAAAGAGTCAAAAAGACAAAAATTACCCCTGAATTCGCATCCTTGGTAAACGGAGTATTCAGTCAAGAAGTGCAGAGCCACATGTACAGAGGTTATGCAATTGTTACATCAGATAACGGACATGTCACGAGTAAATCTCAGGTAAACCAGATTTCGAGATAATTGTAAACGTTACACCTTCCAAAGTAGTTGACCCGTTCGGGGATGCGATTAAAAGTTTACACGTGAAGTGGAGAATACATATTATAGAGTGTAAGATAAAAGCAAAGATGCTTAATAACGTTGCTTTACGATAGGATCACAAC